AAAATATTTAATATTTAAAAGTTATGTATAGAATGATAAATGTGTCAAGTCCAGTATATTAGGTATAGTATGTTATTGAGTCCGATATGTTCTAAGGAATTGCAGTTGGTGAATATTGCACCACATAAAATTATTGAATAATGAATCTAATTGTAATTGGCAATCACATATTTCCTGACTTCGCTAATGCTTGATTTGTGTTTGTTTGTTTCTTTTTTGGTAATTTGCTTACATCGTAACGTCCTCTTCTTCTCATTACTTCCCCCACATTGTAGTCAGTTCTGGAATTCGTTTACACCGCGGTAAGTTGGCCCCAAATGTTCTTACTTACTGTTCCTTAAGTAAATAAAAACAAAAACAATCAAGACTACAAATGTCTGCTATTAAAGAACAGCAGTCAATTTATTTTCACAAATACACCTTGTATAACTCTATATCATATTTCATGAAAATCATACACATTCAAAAATGTAAACCCTTTAACCCAACAAAAATGTCTAGTTTCACTACATTTGAGTTGTCAATGTCGTGTTATTGGAGATGCAATAAATTCAAAGTAAATACTGTATGTCATTGTTATATGACATCTGATATTACAAATTATTTTTAATTTATCTATGAAGATCCAGTATTTCTTTTATTCAGAATAAATGAATTCGGTTCTTTAAATCATTGAAGAATCATAAAAAAGGTTATTGTTTTTTCTTTTAAAATGATGCAATTTTGGTCCAAGAAAGAATATACTTAATGATTTTCATGAGTATTAATTAAGATTTCTTTCAAATTAAAGAAAAAATATATATTTTCCTGAAACCTAGCATTGCATTGTTGACAAAGGAATGTTAACTATTAAGTGGAATTGAAATTAGTTTGATCATAAAATTATCTCTTTTCTCTTTGATTACATTGAGCAAATAATCAGTAGTGTGTTAATGAGGAAGAGATGAATATAAGTAATAGAAATTAGAAAATAGAAATCTTAAGAACTAAAAAATCCAAACTTTAAAACTAAAATAATCATATTTGAGTATCATATATAAACGTCATGAAGTTCTGGAAAGCCAATTTAGAAAAAAATTTGTGTCACACAAGTTACTCTTACATTTGAGTAATTTTTGCTTTGTAACAATGGGAAAACATTTTTGAATGTGTTTAATTCTGATAATTTGTAACAAAATATCCCTAATTGTAAAACCTTTGGTTTTAAAATCAAAAAATTCCAAAATAAATGGTGTATTTTAGTGATGTCAAAATCTCTATGCAGTATTACTTTCTTCATGAGGATTCTTTGATCTTTTTCTGAATTAGTACAGTCATTTTCAGACATACATTTATTCCTCTGTAACACATGTCTAAAAATTGAGTATTATACCTACTACATGATCCACAGGGACAACATTATGACAGGGATTAACAACAGAAACTAAATCTTCATAATTCATTTTTATTTAACAAATTTTATACATTTTAGGTTTTTTACAATACATGTCTTCATATTTTTATTAACACTAGTGAAGACAAAGTACATGGATGGAAATGCTGCTGATAAGTAAATTCAGCACAACTGCAATTTTTAAACTAATGGGAAGGAAGCACATTTTTCATAAAACATATTTCATGTAAAGAAAATTATTCATTGTATCAAATATATTATTATCAGATTCAGTTCTTCTATATCTCATTAACCATGTATTTTCACAATCTCAAGAGCATTTTGAATGTCCTCAATAGAAACTAATACTGCATATATTTCATACTTATATTTTTGTATATATATTTAAAAGAAAAAGTTACTATTCATTTAAACTTCCTCTTCTGTTGAATTCTCATCTCTGTGTTGGTGTGTTGTTGCACTGTCATGTCAGTCCAAGTCTTTTGTTCCATACATAATTCTGTTATTTTATTTTTTCTTGTATCATGTTGTGTGTGTTCTATTTTTAATTTATCTACTTGTTTTGTAAGGACAAAACTTTGTAGAAATAATCTAACAGCAATGTATTTTAACTTCTTGGCATATAAATGTGTGTGTACTTTATATAAAAATGTACTAACTAGTATATTTGTGTATTAAGTACAATTATATAAATACATTATATGCCAAATTGAAATTTTCCCCTGTCCCTTGTCTGCGTCTATCGTTTCTCTGTGACCACCCATATCACCATCCACCTGACGTGTTGCACCACCATCCACCTTCCACCTGTTGTCCTCTTTCCTTATCCATTGAAAGAAACCTTTCAAAATCCTGTTTTATTCCCAACTGTCAATATTCACCATATAAAACATGTAGAGCTTATTTATTGCATTTATAATATCTCACTTTTTCTACATTTCATATATTGATGTATTTTTTTCATCAGTGTTATTTTATTTTACTGTAGTTTGTTTATAAGCTTGGACATGTTTTTGTTTATTACATTGACACTGTGAATGTTTCTAATTTTTTTCTGAGGTATAATTCAAGTATTGAGTGTTATGTCAGAGAAGTAATATATTAAAAAATTCATATTATTTATTCTCATAATAAAATTGTTTTTAAAAAAATATTTTACATTAGTATTTGAATTTGAAAATTTTGTAATACAATTTAATAAATGTTCAAATTTTTCTTGTTTTTTTCCATTCATTATATTTTGTATGTTATGTAATATTCTATATCATTATATTTAGAATATATTTATGCCATTGAGTAAATGGGAACAAATACAATACAGCTTAGACAAACATGTTTTGCCTAGAGCAATCATACCAAGCCTATTTCATTGTTTCATACAATTTGTTTGAAATTCAATCAAAACATGAATTTTTAATTTTAATTTGTGCATTTAAAACGGGTTATTTGCTGAACATTTTAGAAGACATGTAGGAATAAAGAAGCAGACAACATAATTCACAATATAAATTGGAAATGATCTGTACTTTTGAATTTCAGTTTCCTGACCAGGCAAGATATGTCTTGTTAAACTCGCTTTAAACAGATGTAACCTATGGATTTCACTCTGTGAACAGAGACATTTTATAGTTCTTGTGCACAGTAGTATATAGCATGCTAACCACTTGTTTTGCATTTGTGTAAATGTTAAAGATCCAGAGCTGTAGTGAAAATATTACAAATTCCTTTACCATTTACATATCAGTCTACGTATGATGCTGAGATTATTGTTATTCTTCGTCAGAAGTAAGCTCTAACCATTAAATTTTGAAAGAAACAACTGACTGCACATTTCATGCCTTTCTTAGTAATTCTAGTTTGTTCTATCCAAAGAAAGAAAAGAAAACTCTGATGTCATGTCATTGAAGTGTTATACTTTCACGTGAATTTTACAATTTTTCTTTCATGATTCTAGGAGAACTATATCTGGAATATAATAGCCTTCAATGTACCTTTCATTACTATTCATTTAATACTGCACTTTATTAAAGAATATGATTTGATATAAATTAATATTATATCACTAAAATTAGTGATTTTCCGTGTGTGTATGAATATCTTTGTTAATTGTGAATATAAAATTTAACTCTTTGTATCATTTCTGTTTAGTTCCATTAATAAGAAAAAGGGAAATATTTGAACAAATGTACTTAGTTGACAGCCTATAGTGTTAAATCTTTATTCTTACTGAAATATGTTAGTCTGTTCAGTGAATCTCTCTTCTTAGAAAATTGTTTGTGATTAAAACTGTGTACATATTACTACATATTACATTTATGTGCAAATATTAGTAATTTGTAAAGGAAGAACAGTCATGCCATTGAACAACATTTTTCTGTAACGATATATTAACAGATAATTACTCCTATGTTGTTTTTAGCTGCAGTGAATATGATCTGTAGATTCAATATTTGTCTTTCTTTGAGGTAGAAAGAAGTACAATTTTACTTAGTATTTGTGCAATTTGATCTGACTGACCTCACTACCTCAATTATGCCTCTTCTTATCTAAAATTTTGTCAAACACTAAGAAAATTTTTGATTATCTGAAAGTTATTTAAATTCTGAAATCAAATTAAGATAATTTCTTTAGAACCTTTTAGCATTTTGCACTGCCGCACTTATAATTATTTGATTGCTTCTTCATCTCACAATTCTTCTCACCAGTAATACAAGCATGTTTTCAATTATCAGTGGAAGAGATATGGACATGAAATGTAAATTACAGCTTATTGATCACATAAAAAGCAACTATTGCTGTAGAACCTGTAGAGAAAACATAATTGTTTTGAAACGTTAGAAGATATATTTTGATACTCATAAATAAAGTTACTACCCCAAGAAGATTCAGTTTCTTGTGCATACTTGCCTAGATTCATTTATTGTTTTTTGAAAATACATTTCTTAAAATTATTTTTAAAAGGGACTTAAAAATCAAAATTTCAAAATATGTTTATGTCCATTTCTCTTTGATAAAAAAGTATTGTTTGTTAATTTTTTATGATTAAATATCTTTTTCCATGAGTCCATGGTTTGGATGAATATTTCAGCCTTGTTTAATTGACAATGGTCTTCTTCATGATAATGCAGAAAACTCAGTAAAAATACTTTATATCTTTTAAATAATGCATCTCTAATATATTTGTTCGCTTGAAAGATTATAACAATATTTTAATATAATTTGAATATATTTTTGCTCATTACATTTAAATATTCTCCTTTTTTATGGAGATAAAAAATAAATTGTTGATCTTGAATTGTATTTTTACACCCATTTTTTAAACAATGCTTTTTTATATGGAGACATTTTTCCTCCTTTTTCAATATTTTCATTTGAGATAATAATTTTGTATTGTAATTGATTTGCAGAATTTAAAAAAATATTTTGTTGTAAATAAATATTGGAAAAAATTTAGCACATGTTATCAATGAATAAAGAATGCGCTAGAACATGGATGCAATCATGGGGCAAGAACCATTGACTTTCTGCATTGCATATTCATCTTTACCAGCATTGATTGTAGCACCTCTCCATTATACTTATATTTTATTTGTTGTTCTTTCTTTAGCCGTGTATCTGTCATGCGAGGTCAGGTGGTCACACCACAAGGACTCGGTATTGTAAGCATTCGTGTGAGTGTTGACCGTGAGTCAAAATTTGGTTTTACACTGACCAGAGCAGGTGGATGGTAAGTGGTTAAGAAATATTGTGACTTTACAATTATAAATCAGAGTGTTTTACTTTATTGTCTGTATGATTAATAACCTGGAAGTTACTTATTTTAGGATGAAAATATGTTCAATATATTTAAGTCATATATTTAAGTCTTCATGTGTGATGTATTATAGATTAAATTGTATGGATATACCTGTAGTCTTGAACCATTAAGGTGAGAAGAATACACTAGGATTATAAAATTAATTTAGAGTTTAATTGTTCGTATATATATTCATTACATTTTTTAATTATACTTTTGAAAAAAAAAAAATTCATTTTTATAGGTTTGATGTATTAGTCAATGGAGGTGGAGCTGTTACTCTTCAGTTTCAAAGAAGTCCATTCCAACCACTCACTAAAACAGTTTTTGTTCCTTGGAATCAGATTGTAGTCCTTCCTCCCATTACCATGCAACTTAGTGAAGATACAGATGTATACAATGATAATTCTGGACCAAATGGATTCTCATTAGGTGAGAAATCACATCATTTTTATGAAGTTTTTAACATATTAATATTTTGAAAGTATTAAAACAAATCTTTATTTTGGTTTAGTCAATTCAAGGTACTCTGTTATGAATTATTTTACCAAGGTTAAAATAATAAAATATCTATATACCTGAGAGTATTTTCTTAATGATAATCTTTTCTTAATGATTATTGTTGCTGTATTAATTTTAGGACTCAGTCATAAAGCCCAATGTCATAAATGTAATTCTGACACTTTAGTGATGGACAAATGAAAATTTGTGTTTAATGTAAACAAGAATATTCTCTTTGAGAGAACTGTCTTGAGGACTTGAGAACTAATGTCTGCTGAAGAAATTAATATAATTGTAATCTACTGTTCTTTATAGACAGACAATTTACAATAATGAATTCCTAAATATTTGCAGACATAAATTAAGATTCAATAAATCAAAATTTACAATTTTTGCAATATAATTTCTATGTTTAGGTTTACCGGGCTCTAGCATGCCATTATTTTCAAGTAATTCACATCATGGACCATGTTTGGATCATGACCATGAACTTGTAAGACCTGTGATTATGTCAACATGGATGCCAGAAAAAGTTGGAGGTATTCCTGGAAGGAGTGTTGTGTTTGCTGAAACACAGGTACATTTTTTACTTCTTTGATGTCACATTTTTTTATATGGACAAGTTTTAAAGACAAGTTCATGATGATTGTATTTTGGCAAACAGATTTTACAGGAAAGCATTCGTATTCCTGGATCAAAGTTGCATCTCATGTATCAGAGTAGCCAGGCTCCAGGTTACTTATCACGAGTGTTAATGAGACTAACTCATGCAACCATCCCTTCCACACTGACTCATGTGCATGTACGTGTGGAGATCGAAGGTTCTGTTCACACACGAACATATGAAGCAGATCCTCGTCTCACACACACGTTTGCGTGGAACAAACGAAATGTATATAAACAAAAGGTAATTACTTAAAATTTTAATTGATAAAATGTAAGTCTATTGAATAATCTATAGATAATGAAAAATATGTATTTTACTTAACATTCATTAGTAAGTTTGTTGTTTTGAAAGGTTGTTTTTTCTAAAGCTTTCGTCAATAGTTTTTTATGAAATTATCAGTTAATTACCTTTTGATAAAATCTTATCATTGTCTTCTGATAAATTTCATTATTCAATACAAGAGAAAAGCTTCTCAGTTGGTAAAACATTTGTTTTGTACTTTTATGATAAGGATTAAAATTCTCATAGATGAGGTGAAGATTTTGATAACTTTATTTGTCTGGAGAGAATCTCATCTGATGTTTGTTCAACTCCAGAAAGCATATGTTAGCATTCCCATAAGCAAGCTTTTTAACATTTTAGACCAAAGTGTTACTGCAAATTAGTTAACACTATTGAGGGAATGTACAACAGCATATTGTGAAAATGAGCAGACAATTCTTGAATGGTATAGAAACTTCTGAAGGTTTAAGAAGGGTGATGTACATCCCAAACCCTTTTTAATATGTCTTTTGCTAAAGCCTTAAAATAATGGAGGAGAAAATGCAGAGTAATGAGAATGCAGATTGAAAAACACTAGATATTTTACTCTTTGCATATGACCTAGTGGTTATGGTTGAGGATGAAAATTATATCAATTCCCAAAAATTTAGAAGTGAATTTGATCTACTGGGATTGTAAATTAATATGTTCAAAACCAAATATTTGGATTAACAGGATTATGTGTAAATGATAATTATATTGAAAAAGATAAAATATAATTGATTTGATAGATTGTGACAAGTTCAAATAATTGGGCTTCATGGTTACAAAAGAGGACACAACTGATAAGGTCCTTATCAGTAAAATAAATGAAGGAAAATGGATCATTTTCCACAGTTGAACAGAATTGCTGAGTCTAATACTGGGAAATCCCCAGATATCAAAGAAAATAAGGAGAACTATATTTAGCACTATAATTGAAAGTCTTGTCATAAATGGCTCAGAAATATGGGAATTAAATTAAAATCACCCAAAAAATATGAATGACAATTCAAATAAACTTTCTGAGCTGAATTTACATTATATCTCGTTTACACCTTGTTCTGAATGAGATCATAAAGGAAAAAATGGAAATTTATAATGGTGTAATAGATACGGTAGAATGAACAGTTACACTGCAGCAACATGTTCAGAGAATGCCAGAAAGCAACTTGTCAAATAAAATACATAAATGGACATCACCATATAGATGATGGCAAGGCATTTATCATGAACCTGTTAGAGAAAGGAAATATACCTTGCGATGGAAACAGGGAACTTATCAATGGAATATAGAGGAGAATAGGGTAGGTTGAAAAAGAAGAACTGAGAAACATTGCCAGATGTGAACAACTCAGAAATTTTGTTTGTTTGTCTGGTAAGTCTGGAATATGCCTATGTTCTCAGCTTGCCATTCACTAAAACCAAACAGTTCTGAGTGAATGAAAGTCTCAAGGCATTGAGTTCTCTTGATATTCAGGTGCTGAGTTCTCTTTATTAATTATTTCCGTGACCCTTCAGGACTTGTGGAATGTCTTACTTGCTTCATAAGAAAGTAGTTAAAAACTTTAGATCTTTTCCATGCTTGAATGAATTTTACTTTTTTATCATCTCCATGACAGTTTTTCTTCACATTTAAACAGTCAAGTCTGCAACCCAGTATTAATTTTCAGTTACAAAATTTTACATTTTATTTTAAGAAAGTATTTTGAAAAAAACATTCATTTTCTAAATTAAACATTCATTTTTTGAACTTATTTATTTATTCATTTTTTATTAATATATTTTTTAATGCATAAAAGATTGTTTTTTGGCCTCTCACTTATTGCCTGTCTCTGCTGAAATAAATGTTTGTCCACACTGTGCAATGTGTAATGTAAAAATTGCATCCAATGCCCTTCTGTCATTTTCTAGGTTTATGGAGTGGCACAAGCCCGAATATCAGTTGGCTACCAGTATTCAACATGTCCATCCATTGTTTGGGAAACACAAACTGCAATGTTGCAAGGTTTTGATGTAGATATTTCAGATGTTGGTGGTTGGAGTTTAGATATACATCATCATTACAATTTCCATGAAGGTATTTAAAACCTGTATTTAATACTTAAGAGTAAGACCTGTAATTAACCATTTCTTCCATGTATCAGAGTATGGTATGGATATTTTCAGAATGTAACAAAAGCTAATTGTGCAAATATTGAGAAAGTGAAATATGTAATGCATTCATATAGAAGGTTCAATATAAGCTGTCATATTGTATAAAGCAGGGTTGTAAGTGCAGGGATGAGGAAAAAATCTATCAATTTTCTGGAGTTTTAAATAAAAGAAAAAATAATAATTATAATAATAATAAAAAACTTTGCTAACAACACTAACATTTTCCTTTTTGAAGGCAAGAAATGATATACTTAATGAAAAATAAAGTTTATTTAATCAAAGGTTTGGCAAAATTCTAGATATGAAATCACAGTTCATTCTCATTAAGTTTTTCTCATGAATGCATCACACAATCATTCCTGCAAATATTACCAAGACTGAATATTCATTCTCAAAACTTTTATCAATAAAAAACTGATGACAAAATGATCTGGAACAATAAAAGCTTCCCAGTTTAACTTTATTCTCAACTGAGTCTAAACAAGCCGAAAAAATTAATTTTAAAAAGATAATTAATAAATTTCCTTTTTTGACAGTTAAAAAACAGATTTTTTCTTCCAAATGTAAAAATAAAGTGCACAGAATAAACTGCTAGTAATCATTTTATCTTAATTAGAGTGCATACTTTTCATAATGTCGTACTGTATGACTTCTAATAGCTTTTGGTATCATGTTCTTTTTGAGTTTTGAGTTTGAGTATGATTAAACAGGAAACAAAAAGAATAATGTCACAAATCAACAAGACATTTATAAAAAATGTTTTCCTTTGATTAAAATGAAAAACTTAGTTTTCTTATTAAGAAAATAATAAACTATAACTAGGAAAAATTGAAAAAAATAAAGAGAGAGGCTCCATTACCAGGTTGCCCCAGGGCCCCCAAGTCACTAGTTTCTGCTCTGGCACAAAGTATGACTGATTGCCAAATAACCTCCAATGCTAAACGCACTTAACAAACTCAATGTTTGATTTATAAAGGTGCAAAAAGAAAAGTGTTATATATAAATTATTATAAATAAATAAAGTTTTCAAGACTGATTACAGTACATAATTGTACAAAAGAACAAAAAGTTAGCAAAGAAAGTTTTGCTTTCTTTGCTAACACTTTGATTGCTAAGAATTTTGATGAAACAAACAAATTCAATGCAAATCTATATTTTGTTATGGGTAACTGCAAAAACAAGTGAAACCCTGTGTGCTGTGTCCGGATTATTTGGTACGAAGACAATTTGAAAGCATTATCTTTCCTTGAAATGTATAATTTCAGTAAAAGCTGTTGATTTTATTATTCTCATTTATTAGAATACAACAACTATAATTATTAATTCTTGAACAATATATTAATATTGTTTTCTTTCAATTATCTAGGTATTTTGCAGAAAGGAGATGGTTCAACCCTTCATTTCAAACAATATCCTCGAACAGTGAAAGTAGTAATGGGTACTGGTTTGCAAAGACCTCTAATGTGCAATGATTGTAATGGAGCAGCCAAAGATAGTCGTCTCTTAACTCCAGTAGCTCTGACAAGTGGCCCAGATGGTAGCCTTTATGTTGGAGATTTCAATCTTGTGCGTCGCATTACACCAGATGGCAAAGTGTACACTGTTCTTCAGTTAAGGTATAATAAGAAATTCAACAGTAGTTTCATTGATCTCCAAAATTGTATCTGTCCATGCAATTAAATGTAGTTTCTAAAAGGAGTATTTATAAAACAAATTTCAGCAATTAAAAATTTCATTCGTATAGATTGTTGTTAGAAATATTAAAAAGTGAGCCCATTATTTCTATATGATTTCAATTAATGAATTATTTCTTTCCCAGTGCCACTCAGGTATCTTATCAGTATTACCTTAGCGTGTCACCTGCAGATGGTCATTTGTATATTTCCAATCCTGAGAAGCACCAAATTCTGCGAGTACTCTCTCTGGACCCTGTAGAAGAACCTGCAATCAATTGTGAGCCAGTGGTTGGTTCTGGAGAGCGTTGTATTCCTGGTGATGAAACTCATTGTGGTGATGAGGGACCAGCACGAGACGCAAAGCTTGCTCATCCTAAAGGTACACTCTGAGAGAGACAGATGTCATTAGAATGTGTATACATTGAAGAAATAAATTTAAAAAATATTTTTAGTACAGTTCAATTAATCAAAGATTTAAAAATTTGTATTGTGATTTATAAATTAATTTCTCCAGCATGAAATACTTTCTTTCAGAAAGTGAATTAACAATAATTTCCTATCACATCCCTCCATTGTGAAGAAGCTTGTGCTATAATTATAGTGACTTTGTGTATTTAGGTTTAGCTATTGCAGCTGACAAAACTATGTTTATCGCCGATGGAACAAATATTAGAGCTGTTGACCCTAAAGATATTATCCATACTCTTGTTGGTCATCATGGTCATCACAATCATTGGACACCTGTCCCTTGTCATGGTGCAATTCCAGCTCAGCAGGTATGTTTTTCATGAAATTTTAGTGCACTTCATCTTCATGCTCTTTAGGAAAAATATTTAGAAAATTTGAATTGATTTTGAACAATTTTAGATTTGGGGAATTATCTTTATATTTTAAGAAGAGAGGATAAAAAGTTTTTCATTCTGGAAAATTATAATTTATTTTCAGGCACAATTACAATGGCCGACTGGACTATCTCTTAGCCCTCTTGATGGAAGTTTACACTTCATTGATGACAGACTTGTTCTCAAATTAACTGATGACTTGAAAGTAAAGGTAGTTGCTGGTACCCCTCTGCATTGCCATGCCAGCACAACAGATAACCATCAACATGGAAAATCAAGTAATAATCATGATAATGAAAACACATCACCTGAGGAACCGGAGAAAGTATGCATATTAAAGTGATTTTTTTTTTTTTTTTTTTTTTTTTTTTTTTTTTTTTTTTTTTTTTTTTTTTTTTTTTGTATATTTTTTTCTCTAATTGACAGTGTTAACTCATTTGTTTTTCCTTACCTAGCTGGAAGTAGAAGAGAGTACAAAAGCCACAAGGACAGTATTGGGTTCTGTACTAGCACTAGCTTTTAGCCCTTCAGGTGATTTATTTATTGCTGAAAGTGATTCACGAAAAATAAACTCAATCAGAGTTGTAGATTCTGCAGGAAGAATTTCAGATTTTGCTGGTCGACAACAAGGAAAACTTTCACGGTAAGCCATTGATTCACACATATAAAAAATTTGTCTCTTATTTTTCATGAATATTTGCCTATATGAAAAAAATTTTATGTGTATTTAAAATTAATGTTTTTTTAAATTTTCAGGCTTGTACCCTGTGATTGCAACACTAATTTCAACACTTCAACTGTAGCTGGAATATCTTCAAATTGTCCTTGTGCGTCAGTTATAGATGATTCTAATGCAGAACATAGTTCAAAAGAAACTATGTTATCCTCAAATGCTCAATTTACTTCCATATCAGCTCTGACAGTATCTCCTGATGGTGTTTTAAATGTTGCTGATCAAGGAAGCTTACACATTTTGGCACTTGAACATTATCTACCTACACATGATGAAAATGGAGAGTTCAGGTAAGGTTATTTCATCTAACTGTTTTTATCTATATCTACAATGCAGTTTAAAACATATATAATATAATAAATGTTCATATTTGAAATTTAAAAAGTTTGTTTTGAAATTTGTTTAAAATTTTAGGATTCCATATCCACCAACACGTGAGATTTACGTGTTCAACCGATATGGGCAACATATAGCAACAAAGGATCTCACATCTGGCAAAACTCGTTATTCCTTCCTCTACAGTAAAAACACTAGTTTCGGGAAGTTATCTACAGTAACAGATAGTTCTGGAAACAAAATTCTTTTCTTAAGAGACTATAGCAATGTGGTAAGTTATCAAATCAATATTTTAAAACACTTTGCATGAATATGTGAGACTAGAAACTTTAAGTAAAGATCATAACTGAACTTAAAGAAAACATTTTATTTTAGGTGAGCACTATTGAAAACACTCAAGATCACAAATCAGACTTGAAGATTTCTGCTGTTGGCTTTTTGGTAAAGTTTTCTGAAAAAGGAAAAACTGAAATTGAACTTGAATATGATAGTACTACAGGTCTCTTAACCAGTCGCTCTGATTCTCGAGGAGGAGGGGTATGTCTTGAAATTCATCAAATTTATTTTGTTTAAGTTACATTTTGGGTTTATTTAATTAAAAAGTGTGTATATTATTAAATAATGTTACAGGGAGGTGAAACCTATATGTACCATTATGAAGGGAATGGCCGTTTAACTGATGTCATTCTATCCACTGGGGAAACAGTGAGTTTATCTTCATACTTAACACCAGATGATGGACTTGCAGTAGAAGTCTCAGCACCTGTTCAGTCCCTTGCAGCCTCAGATCTTCAGCAACATTCTTCAACATCACCCCAACAACAACATGCTATTTCTCTAAAAATGGAAGGAAGAGGAGCAAAACGATTAATTATTAGAGAAGGTTATTAATTTTTTATTGTTTTAGGGCTGTAATGAAAGGGGTTTATAATATTACTTATTTAAAAAACAAATGGACAATATTATTCCATTGAAACATTTCACAGAATCATCATACAAATTTCTTAATTAACTAATAAAATCTTGCATATTTGAAATAATTTTCTCTTTTAATTTTTATTATTATTAAAAAAAATATTTTCTATAAAATGTTAAAAGTAAAAGTAATTGCACACTTTAAAGGCCTCTTTGATAATTCCATAATTTAGCATGAAAATAAGGAAATCG